TGCAGTTTTATGGGTTTTATGTGTATTGAAACTTAGACATTACTGTTTTCATGCAATTACATAAATGTTTAACATATGTTACTTTATACACTTTTTTTTTTTTTTACTTTCACAGTAGCATCAATATCATCTGCAGTACCATCAGGTAATGATGTAATTTAATGAAAAACTTAAAGATTGCATATCTTATTTTGCACATCACTTTATTTCTTTATTTTTTTGTCTATACATTAACACCTCAAGCAATAATATCAGGTAATCTGTTTAGCATACTTATGCAGTTTTATGAGTTTTATGTGTATTGAAACTTAATTTTTTTTAAATGTGTTTTGCATGCTTATGCAGTTTTATGAGTGTTATGTGTATTGGAACTTAAACATTACTTTTTTCGTGTTTGTATGCAATTACATAACTGTTTAATATATGTGTTTGTTTATATACTTTTTTATTTATTTCTGCAATAGCAACAGTATCAACTGCAGTACCACCAGGTAATGTGTTTTCCATACTTATGCAGTTTTTCTGTATTTATGCAGTGTTATGTGTATTGAAACTTAAACATTACTTTTTTCGTGTTTGTATGCAATTACATAACTGTTTAATATATGTGTTTGTTTATATACTTTTTTATTTATTTCTGCAATAGCAACAGTATCAACTGCAGTACCACCAGGTAATGTGTTTTCCATACTTATGCAGTTTTTCCGTATTTATGCAGTGTTATGTGTATTGAAACCTAAACATTACTTTTTTCATGTTTGTATGCAATTACATAACTGTTTAATATATGTGTTTGTTTATATACTTTTTTATTTATTTCTGCAATAGCAACAGTATCAACTGCAGTACCACCAGGTAATGTGTTTTCCATACTTATGCAGTTTTTCCGTATTTTTGCAGTGTTATGTGTATTGAAACCTAAACATTACTTTTTTCATGTTTGTATGCAATTACATAACTGTTTAATATATGTGTTAGTTCATATACTTTTTTATTTATTTCCATAATAGCAACAATATCTGCAGGACCATCAGGTAATCTGTTTTGCATACTTATGCAGTTTTGTGGGTGTTATGTGTATTTGTGTAGGTATATATGAAATTTAAACATTGCATATCTATATTTTTACATTACTTTTTTTATTTATTTTTTTTGTCATAACTTTTTTTTTTTTGAAGTCTAAATAGTTTTAGATAATATTTTTATTGGTTGTTTTGTGCAGTATTGTATTCAAATTTATTTCTTTTTTTGTTTTTGTTTTTTAGCATCATATCAAGATTTTCTGCAATATCGCTCCCAGCACCCAGGTCCAATATCTTCAAGAGCTTTTTACCGGTGGAGTCAATATGGGGGAGATGATCCCTCCTTTAGATGGAGGAGAGAAGCCCCATATGACACCACTGGTAGAAGGAGGGGTGCTGGAAAGCGATTTAACTCTTTTAATTTCTACCAGTAGCTTTTTTAAACTACTGGTAGAATTATCTTCTTTTTTATTTATAAAGAAAATTGAATTTTTAAAAAAATGTTTTTTTAATTTCGCAATTTTTTATTATTTTAATTTATATACTTTTACTATTTTATTTTTTTGATTTTTAATTCTGTTTTTAAATCCTAAACTAACAAAGAACTCTTATGTTATAAAAGTTTTTAATAATTTGTCTATAAGTTTTTTTATTAATTTACGTTTTTACATCTTTTTATCTTTATTTTTAATTTTAATAATAGTAAATTTTCTTTTGTATTAACTTTTATTTGTTAAGTGTTATATAGTTTTTGAAAGATTTGGTAAATATATTCAAAATTTTTCTTTTTCTATGATATCTGTTTAATATGTCTAATATATGCACTATACACATATTAATCTCTTTACATTATTCTCTTTAGATATATTATAAAATAGTATTTAAAATCAGTTGTCAGCCACATGTGGTCTATATGATGCAACATGTTTGCAATTGTTGGCATGTCATTTAAAAATATGTAACTAATTTTGCTTTTCAATATTACCATTAATATGACTTTTAAAATAATAAAATTTTTTATTTGTTTCAAAAAATACTGTTTTATTACTTACAATATAGTATGTTATTACAAGATACTTCTGGCTTTTTCTCTGTTTCAAACCAGTTTAGTTATACCTTTTGTTCACAAATTTTATTAGATGCTATACACATAGTTTCATAGGTTTAAACTGATAAATAGCACTTTATTGTTTTTGTTCATTTTAGATTAGTATAGCAAAAAATTATTAAGATAAAGTTTTATCAAACATAAATAATTTCTCAATTATGTCAAGTAACCTAAGAGCTGAAAATAGAAGAAATCGTCGAAATGAAAGAAATGAGGCCAGACGAGAAGAAATTAATCGTCGCCAAAATGAAAGAAATGAGGCTAGGCGAGAAGAAATTAATCGTCGCCAAAATGAAAGGAATGAGGCTAGACGTGAAGAAGTTAATCGTCGCCAAAATGAAAGAAATGAGGCTCGACGAGTATTATTTAGGCGTGAAATGCATTGCATAGCAAGAAATAATGTTTTTATAGAGAGTAATTACCTAGGAGAAATGAACCATAATTGTCAGTATTGTGGTGCTAAAAAATTTTTAAATGAAACACATTTTTTGTGCTGCCATTCGGGAAAGGTTGTCTTACCTCCACTTTCACCTTATCCACCGCTGATGGTTGATTTAATGACAGGCAACCATGTTGATCGTGCTTTGAATCAAAATTTTTTCAAGCATATACGAAATTATAATGCCTGTCTATCTTTTGCTTCATTCATAGCCACAATAGATCCTCCGTCAAATCGTGGTCCACCCTGTTTTAGAATTAGTGGGCAAATTATGCATCGTATTGGTAATCTAAGACATCAGCAAGGGGATCCACCTGCTTATTGTCAATTATATGTTTATGATCCTAATACTGCTTTAAACTTTCGAATGGAGCAAAATGATTGTTGCATACGTGAGTTAATGGAACTTTTGCAGACTATAATTAATCAGGAGAACCCATATGCGCTTGCATTTAAAAACATGGCAGAAGTTGAAGATGCAGAAATTCGTCAAGCTGCTATAGAAGGTCGACCGATTTCTGTTGTCAAAATGTCGTTGCTTGAGGGTTGTGATAGACGTCGATACAATCTTCCATCACATGAAGAGGTTGCCATTGTGTTTGTAGGAAATGATGGTGCTCCACCTCCATCTAGAGAAGTTGTTATTTATCCTCGAGGTCAACCCTTAAAAACAATTTCAAGTATGTCTGCAAATCTAGATCCAATGATATATCCAATATTTTTTCCAAGAGGTGATGCAGGATGGCATGATCAACTAGAGCACAATCCTGACCGAGCAACACGTGTTCGAAATCGTGTTACTTTATCTCAGTACTACAACTATAGGCTTTCTATTAGACAAACGTTCAGTCCTATATTTTATGGTAAGAAACTTTTTCAACAGTATGCTGTTGATGCATATGTCAAGATTGAAGGACAGCGCCTTGCTTTTATCAGAAATAACCAAAACAAACTTAGAAGTGAACAATACGATACATTACATGAGTATGTAAATAATGTTGCAAATAACCTTAATGTAAGACCGGGTCGTGTTGTTATACTACCATCCTCATATGTTGGAAGTCCAAGAGCTTTAAAAGAAAATTTTGAAGATGCAATGGCAATTATAAAGAAATATGGTAAACCAGATCTTTTTATTACTTTTACCTGTAATTCAAAATGGAGAGAAATTACAGAAAATTTAAATCCAGGTGAGAGCGCAACTGACAGGCCTGATTTAGTTTGTCGCGTATTTAAGATGAAACTTAAATGCTTCTTAGGTGATATTTTTAAACATGGAGTCTTAGGCAAAGTTGTAAGTCATGTACAGGTTATTGAGTTTCAAAAACGTGGTTTGCCACATGTGCATATTTTATTACACTTTGTAAACGATGATAAGCTAGAAACAGCAGAGGATATTGATAGTTTAATATCAGCTGAAATTCCAGATCAAACTGTTGATCCTGAACTTTTTGAAATTGTAAAAACATGTATGATTCATGGACCATGTGGGATTTTAAATCCCAATTCTCCTTGCATGAAAGATGGAGTTTGCACAAAAAAATTTCCTAAAGAGTTTAATCCTTGCACTGTTGCAATTTTCAATGGTTATCCTAACTACAGGCGTTTAGATAATGGTAGAGTAGTCATTATAAAAGGTAACCAAGTTGATAATCGATGGGTCGTACCCTATAACCCCTGGTTATCAAAAAAATACCAAGCCCACATTAATGTTGAAGCTTGCATGTCTATTAAGTCAGTGAAGTATTTATACAAATATGTCTATAAGGGGCATGATTGTGCGAATGTGGTAATTAATGAAAGTGTTGACCATGATGAAATTAACACATATTTAGACTGTCGCTTTGTTTCCGCCCCAGAGGCTCTTTGGCGAATATATGAGTATTCCATAAGTGATATGTCACATACTATTATCCGCCTTCAAATCCACCTTCCTGATAATCAGAGAGTATATTTTAACGAAGGAGAAGAACAAGTAGCTATAGATCGTGCAGCACAGCGTGACACTCACCTAACCGCTTGGTTTAAGTTAAATGCTGAAAATAATGAAGCACGTCAGTATTCTTATGTTGAAATTCCATATCACTTTGTTTTTGGTAAAAATTGCATGTGGAAAGTAAGACAAAGAGGTAGTGATAAGGTGGTTGTTCGAATGTATAAAGTCAGTTCATTTTGCGAATTATTTTTTCTCAGGTTGTTACTTTTGCATGTAAAAGGTGCAAAGTCTTTCGAGGATTTGTGTACTGTTCATGGTACTGTTTTTAATACATTTCGTGAAGCATGTTATCATTTAGGTTTATTGCAAGATGACATTGAGTGGAGAAATACATTAATTGAAGCTGCTGCAACTCGGATGCCAAAACAAATTAGGCTACTGTTTTGCATCATATAAACTTTATGTGAACCTGATGATCCTTTACACCTTTGGAATACATTTAAAAATTATATGGTTGAGGATTACATACATCATTCAATGCCAGTCGTACTTGCTGAGCAGGCAGCTCTTCGTCAAATTGAATCTATAATTAATCAGAGTGGTAAAACCTTAGCTGATTATAATTTGCCAGCTTTAGATCAGTTTTTAGATAATGTCCCAGAAAATGATGATGAAGATGTTCAGGTGTTTATTGATGAAGCAAACCGAGTTAGACCATTATTGAATGATAATCAACGTAATGTAGCTGATGCGATCCTTGCTGCACTAAGTGTGGAACCTACTAATGAAAATAAGCATTCAAGGTTGTTTTTTATGGATGGGCCTGCCGGTTGTGGTAAAACATTTACTTACAACTATTTAATTTCTGAAACACAGAGCAGGCATATTAGAACTGCAACAGCTGCATGGACAGGAATAGCTGCAACTCTTCTCAAAAATGGGTGCACAATGCATGGCTTATTCAAACTTCCTGTTCCAATTTTGGAAACTAGCACATGTAATGTAACTCCAAACTCTATTCATGGTAGATTCCTGAGACAAATCAGTTTGTATTTACTTGATGAAGCATCTATGATACCCAAATATGCTTTGAGTGCCATTGATAAGCTATTACAAGATATTTGTAATAACAACTTTCCTTTTGGTGGTAAGGTTATTCTTATGGGTGGAGACTTCAGACAAATACTTCCAGTTGTGAAGCGAGGTCGACCAGCAGAAGTTATAGAATCATGTTTAAAATGTTCTGAACATTGGCAATATGTGCAAAGGTTCTCATTAACTGTAAACATGAGGGTTCAGATAGAAGAAGAGGAATTTTCTCAATGGCTTTTAAAGCTTGGAAGTGGAACATTACCTGTCAAGCCTGAAGATCCTTTGCGAGGGTGTATTGAAATACCTGAGCAGTGCTTTCTCAGTGATAATGAATCTATTGTGGAGAAGATTTTCGGTGGTGCAGAAGAAGGTGATTATGCAAAACGTGCTATTTTAACGCCAGCAAATGTTGATTCATTGGCAATAAATGAAGAAGTCCTTCATCGCTTACCCGGTGATGTGAAAACATATTTAAGTTCAGATAGCATTGATACTGATGATCTTAATGAAATTAATAATTTTCCAGTCGAGTTTTTAAATAGTTTGACTCCATCAGGTATGCCTGTTCATTGCCTAAAATTAAAAATTGGTGCTGTTATAATGCTACTTAGAAATTTAGATCTCAAAGGTGGACTTTGTAATGGAACCCGTTTGATGGTGCGTGCATTACACAACAATTATATTGATGGTGAGGTTTTAACAGGTGTATCAGCTGGTAACAGGGTATTTGTTCCTCGAGTTCAATTAGCTCCATCAGATGCAAATTTACCTTTTACACTTAAACGCCGTCAGTTTCCAGTTAGGTTAGCATACTCAATGACCATAAATAAAAGTCAAGGTCAAACATTTGAAAAAGTTGGTGTTTATCTCAAAAAACCTTGCTTTTCACACGGCCAATTATATGTTGCATGTTCAAGAACAAGATCATTTAATAGTTTGTTTTTCAAAGTTGATAAACATCCATTACAAGGTACGTCATTTAACAAACATTACACAAATAATGTTGTCTTTACAAATGTTCTTAATTTATAATTTTGACAAGTATATTATGTGTTATATGTGTTTTATATTTTTTGTATGTTTTTTTTTTTTTTTTTTTGCTATATGTGTATATAAATGAATGTGTTTATATGCGTTTATATATCTTTATTTATATTTATGTGCTTAAGTTTATACAAGTTTATATTAAGTTGTTTCCATGTGAAAAGTGGTGTTACTTGGCAACGTGTAGTGCAAGATTGTGATTCTTGCTAGCCAAGCGGTGTTACTAATTAGTGGTGTTACTTGGCACTTAATGCCAAGCGGTGTTACTAAATTGTGGTGTTACTTGGCAGCGTTTAGTGCCAAGCGGTGTTACAAGTGTTGAGCTAGGTTGTGTTGTCTAGCTTTTTTAATTATTCTGGAAACACATAATCTGAATATTTTGTGTTATGTGCAAATGTGTTATGTACAAATATTTGATGCTATGTGTATTCAGTAGCATAGGCAGGGTCTTTTGATGCTTCAGATAGCATTTTCAACCAAACTTAAGTGTATTCACGTTTATAGAATTAAAATACTTTGCAAAAAATTGATGTTTTTAAAGCTTAGGAACAAATGTTTAAAAAAAGTGTTTTTCTTAACCTGAATTTTTTTAGACATAACAAAGTTAAACTCTTCAACAGCTTCTAAATATATATCTGAAACAACAAAAATCCTGCCTACACTACTGGTGTTATTGTTTGTCATCCTGTAATGTTGTTGTGATGTTTTGTGTTGATAGACAGCTTGGCTTACCTTCACGTTGGTGTATATCGTTAAAAATGATTATTGGGTAGCTTCATTACTGAAACTTACTCCTAATCATTCACTAAAAGCCAAGAAATATTTTAAGAAAAAATGCCTAATTTTTTTGTGTCAGTAAGAATTTTTATCTTTAGCAATGCTGATAAAACTGAATTTTTTTAAAAAAAGAGTTATTCCAGCCTTCCAACCAAATATTAGAGACTTTTAAAAAAGCACTCTCACAAAGTAAGTGTCTAATCTTCTATATAATATTGCCGAACTAATTTTTACTAAATTTTGGTTCGTATTTTTCATTTCTCAAATGAATTAACATAAAACAAATAAATGTGCATTCAGTGTTATCAATAATGATTTTATTTCATTTTTAGATAATGCTTTTATAATCAATTTAAAAGTCTTTCAAATCGTTAACCATTTTCTAAAGGCGAAGAAGAAGAATCATCAATCTTCATACCATTTAATAAAGCTATTTTAATAAAACGCAATACAAATTGTTGTAAATTAGTATTTGAATAATTTTCACGTTGTTACCTTATTTTGCAGTTTCCTATCACTTTGTATTGAATTAACTAAATCCAATATTACAGTTCCTTTTATCAAGTACTTCACATTTTCTGTTTTTGTTTTATGCAGAAAAACAGATCAAATTAATTTATTTGACTTGCCTAGCTACTTATTTTACAGGCCTAGCCACAGTGAGTGTGCATAAATCAACAGAGGATTTGGGTTTGGGCAGGTTGTCTTGAACTAAATGATTTACCTTCTTCATGTTAAGCTCTAAATATAAATATACGGAAAAGGTGCATATGTGAATTTTTTTTTTCTAGCACATAATCTATTGTTCACTAAATAATATTTGAGGGAGAAATAGAGATAAGGTTAATGTGGAATAGAGTTTGTCTTTTTAAGTGAAAAACTATTTTATAATCTATCTATCTTCTTCTATATAATATTGCCGAACTTAATAGTAGTGTTAGTAGAAAGAGTCACAGCACTTTTTTTAGAAGAAAACGTGTATGCAAATATCTAACGTACGTAATTAAGTAATGATAAAACATACTGAAACATTTTTCAAGTTTTATAGTTTGACTTTGACTTAAAAATTGCATTGCGTCAACCTCTCCTTAATTTTTGATCTACAGCAATTCCGTTAAAAACAATTTTTATATATTTTTAAAATTTCGATATTTGATGTGTCAGCATGGCCGAGTGGTTAGCGCGCTAAGCTTCTGAACGTAATAGTCGTGGTTCAAATTTACCACCAGCGATTTTTTTCTTTAAATTACAAAATATTTGTGAAGTTAAATAAGTTAAATGTTATACACTTTAACCGTTTTTTCTTTTTATATTTTATATATTTTTTGGATTTCTAAAAACACCAATAAACGGGGCGAAAAATTGTTGCGTGTGTGTCACGATTTTGATACTGTTCTCACATAATTGGTCCTAATAAGCTACGGATAGTCTTAAAAAAAAAGGTCCTAAAACCTAATAAAAAAAAAAATTGATAAAACCGTCCTGCTACTCCACATGGTATTGCAGTCGAGGCAGGGAAAAAAAAAAGCAATTAAAAGGTTTTTTGTTATATTTAATTTTTTGCTATAAATATAGCCAGATTAAAAAAAATGTATTGAGATTTTTTAGGCGCGGATTTGAAGCCTTGCACAGCGAATCTGATGACAGCGCACTTAACTTGTGAGCTATCAAAGTTATGCATGTAGTTAGGCGCTTCAACATTTTTTTAAAAATGTAAAATGAAAACAAATAAATACCATAAGTAAGAGCTAAATAATAACGTTTAAAAATTACCAAACTTTTTGTTATAATATTATTAATTCTTCAACTTTTAAACCACAAAATTTATAATTTATTTTTTTGCATGACTTTTGACGCTTTAAGCGACTAACGTTTTAAAGAATTGCATTACCGTTTCCGTCTAATACAAAGATAACTATAAAAGACCGTTATTATTCAAAACTAAGCATATAATAATAATAAATATAGTAAACTATTGAATATGGCTAGGACGCGACCATAAACCATGGTCCATGGCTGGTCTAAATGTAGAAAGTAGTTTAGTTCAGAATTTTTTTTTAAAAAAATAAATAAACGGGGTTTAATAAGCTATATAGGTATGCGGAAAAAGTGCGTATGTTAAAGTTTTTTTTTGCTCTCAAAGCAAATTTTTTTGATGAATTTTTTTCCACCGTTTACTAAAAAATATTGAAGTAAATAAGGAACAAGTAAAGAAATGATTGGCGTGGAATAAATAAATATAGAAGTAGAAGAAAAGACCTGTATTTACCGATACGGACAGCTAGATTAAGAAAATAAGGGAAAAGGTTTGTGTGGAATAGAATTACAAAGACCCGTATTTTTACGGGTCAATCCAGCTAGTTTACTTAATTACCGCAAAACTACTTTAAATCGTTTATGTAGAAATGTTATTATTTAAAAATGTTTTGGAATGTTTCGTTTTTTAAAATGTAAAAACATTTGTTTATTTTCTCGACGTTTGTCACGTTTTGTCTATACTAAATGAATAAAAAACATTATAACTTAAGTTTAAAATAGATTATAAAATATTTGATTTTTTTTTTCTTAAATATGTAAGTTAAAGTTTTTCAAATAATTATTTTTTCTTTTTAAAAAGTCAGCGAGTAATAAACTGGAAATTTTAATATTGTACGAATAAAAACTGTGCAATAGCTAATATTTTTACAAGCGATTTTATATAATATTTATTTATTTATTTTTATTTATTTTCATAAAGCGGTTGATAAGCACAATCACTCGTATTAATAAAAAACTTAAACGAACGTTTTGAATAGATTTTTATTGTTAACAAGGAATTTTATTTCTAGTAAAATAAAATAAGATGTTAGAATAAAAATCTTATAGGTATAAAAGAAATATTTCAGCGAAAAAATTATTCTTAAAAATTATTATTAAAAATTATTCGAAAAACTATTGACGTTCTATTTTTCTGTAGCTGTTCTTGAGCACGCTTTCATGAGTTTGGGTAACTTTTAACATAAAAGCGATCGTTATTATTTAAGTAATTTTTTTGAGTTACAAAAATTTTAATAACTGTACTTTTTTTATTGAATCAAGTAGAATACGTTTTAATATTAATCCTTTTTTTTTATTTTATTTGCGCTCACCAATTTTTAAAATGTTTCCTCGAAATTACTCTTACATACTTTAAATACGTCTAACAGTTAATAAATATTTTTAAATCTATGGAATAATTTTAAAACCTAACAAACCCCCGTAAAATAATTATTTAAGTTAAAAATCTAAAACTAAAAGAAAGTATTTTTGTTTAACTTTATCGACAACTTTGCTATTGCTGAATAATTTTATTAAAATGTTAGCTTAAAAGATTTAAACTTTTTTTTTTAATCTGAACTTTTTCTACTTGAAAATAATGAGCATATTCAATTCTTTTTAATTCAAACTTTTATTTCAACTGCGTGCGGTTTTTAAAATACTTTATTAAATGTTAAAATAATCGTAAATTACTTCATTCCGCTCAAAAATATCTTTAAATATACTCAAACAAAAATTTTTTTGCTCGACGCAAATAGCCCTAGCTACACGCAAAATCGCTCTTGGACGACGTAAGATTCACATCGCCCGACGCTTTATCGCAAGGCCTGATATATATAAATATACACTTACTAAATCTTTTTTAGAAAAAGAAGAAAAAAAACAAAGAATGATGAATAAAACAATTGCTGCCCCATCCCAAACCCTCAGTCGATGTAGCAGCACTCCACTGCGAGTCAAGCTATTTGTCAGTCGATGAATGTACTGAAGCCCCCAGCAGCAGGCTATTTCAGTATGACCTCAGATTGCTTACCTTAGAATGCAATGCTATTTGTTTATATATATATATATATATATATATATATATATATATATATATATATATATATATATATATATATATATATATATATATATATATATATATATATATATATATATATATATATATATATATATATATATATATCCTTATAGTGTAGTCAAAAGAGACTTATAGTAAAAAAAGTAACTTTTGACTACAATTTTTGTATCTTGTCTCAGCAGCATTTTATTGTCGTTGAAATGTCAAAGCAATTAAATTAATGCAGAAGTACATTAAATTTTATTGTTTTTTAAAAAAACCGCAATAATAATGACTAGAAAGTTTTTTTTAATTAGTGGTGTTTTTGTTTCATTGAAAAATATTTTTAAAACATGGGTAAGTGCTACATCAACTGACAAATAGCCTGACTCGCAAGAGAAAGCAGCTACATCGACTGAGGGTTTGGTTTGGGCAGGCAGTCGATCATTTTGAAAAACAAAAATTTTTTTTCAATGTTTTTCAACATTTTCTGGTCAGGCCTATTAACGCGCTCTTTATGACAACAGTTTATGGAAAAAACTTTGTGACTACCATGCAAGACATATCAGTAAATAGAATGAAGAGAAAATATGATTCATGTTTAGAATTATTACCTTCAAATTTTGTTTTAATTTTATACACAATATCTAATCGATCAAAAGCCATTAACTCTTTTTTTATTAGCTCCCATGAAGGATTTCCAATTTTTTGCTTCCATTTTTTTAAAACATTATCAGCTTTCTCGTAACAATTTTTGTTATCAGAGCCAATATTATCAAGATCTGAATCACTTAGACCGAGGTGTCTTCCCCATCGCAACCAATCACTTCCAATATTATAGCTTATTTCACCACAACATTTTGAAATAAATTCATCAGAAGCCAATTCATTTTTAAACACTAAAAATAAGAAATTTAAACTTTAAACATGTAAAAATAAAGGCAAATAAATTTATAAAAACAAAAATCAAAAGAAAAATTGTTATTAATTGGTATATAAAAATGATTTTATAGGAAAGTTAAACAAATTGAGCAACAGATAGATTTATTAGATAGCATAACTGGTAAAAAGTGTGAGATGTATTAAAAGTGTTAAGATTCAAAAGTTCAAAAACAAGATCTATAACAATAAAAAATTTATTAAACTTAACAATTAAACAAAAAGAATATTGAATAACAACAACAAACTTTTTAATAAATTTAACAGCTACATATCATTTAAATTAACAACAAACAAAAATGTAATAAACTATGAAGTGTAAGGTTCAAATCATTATATTTCAAGCAATAGCCTGTGGATCACCATCTCTGATTTTCCTGATTTTTACATATAGTTATGTGCATTATGTAGATAGGTTAAATTTAAAATTTTAGATTTCCAAGTATAACAGTTCAGAAATTATAGCCTTAGAAACATGACACAGTAACCTCCTGAATTTACAAATGGTCAAAACAGACTACTTTTAAATTAGAAAATAATTATGACCTCCTCAACTTTGGAAAAAATTGCCAAAAAATGCTAAAACGAAACTAACTGTAGCATTATTCTATTTATCCTTTTCTTTACAGATAAGTTTTCTGATTAGCTACTACTGTCTGCAATGAATGCTACTACTGTCTGCAATGAATGGCAAAATAATGTCCACTTGCCTAAAAAGTCCAATTTTCAGCCATTTTGAGATGCTTGAAATATTTTTAACACACTGTTTTGATCTAAGACTAACAGCATATAAGACCATTAGACCCAAAAATGTTAACATTATAAACTTGTCAAATTTACACCAAAAATGCTAGCATTTTTAAATATCCCTATTTTTCAATTATCAACGGTTAAATGTGTTACTAGAAACTAGTGCCCCTCTAATCCGTCAACTAGCCTATGTGAAGGGTACAACTAATTTAAGTCATTTCTTAATAAAAAGAAAGATATGGTTGGTTGCCCTCTCCTTGATCTGGTCCTTATAATAGTTAAGGGATCAAATAAAGGAGAAGTAACTTTTTAGAGACCTTAATTATGATTCAAAGAAAGGTCTCTTTTTAAGTATTTTTCAAAAAAAAACTTAGACTAGACATTTTAGCAATTTTTCTTTGCATCCTAAAGTTATTAAAAGTAGAAAAAAATAAAGATAATTTTAAAAAGTTCCATGAATATTCCATGTCTTTCAATAAAAATAGAAAAATTTTGTGATTTTTTCATTGACCAAATAATATTCCATGACATTTCCATAATTTCCATGATTTCCATGACCACCCTACAATATCTAAATACCTAGATTAATTTCAAAATGAAGCAATTGTTTTTTTAAATTCTTTTTTATTATAGGTAATCAGTGGTCGGGACCCCCTCCCCCAACTCACTAAGGTGAGGATTTAGATTTGACTCTACTACAATTAAACTACTATTCATGTTACACACTTTATTAGCTTATCTGTCTTCATAACCACTAAAAACATCATTAATTTTTAGCCTATAAAATAGTAACATTTTTTTTTTAAACAATTGTTTAAACTTTTCGTGTTTGAGATTGAAAAACACAAAACTTGTCTTATTGCCTGATGATCATTACAGTGACCAACTACAACGATATTGGCTGAAGCATAAAAAGAAATGACAATGGTAAAAATAATAAAAAATAGCATCAAAAAAAGTCTAGTCTTGAGATGAAGGAGAGCGATATCGAACAAAGAGAAAAGTGGTAGAATCAGAAAGAAAAAGGTGGTAGAGCAAAGTGGTGCTAAACAAAAGCACATAAAAGAATAGTCTGTTGATTCAAATCTAGTTCTTGACAAATGGGTGAACTCTTACAAATGTAAATACCCAGGTCTAGCATGTGAAAACTGAATTTTAAATAAATTAAAGGAAAATAATCTAAGCAGTTGCATACAATTATCAAATCTTTAGTCGCAATAAAGGGGTCCAAATGTGGCCTCTACAATGCACATCCTAACTAAAAACAGAGACACCATCCATGCGCAACATGGCACTGTTAGTACTGTAAAACTTTACAGCTGGTAATGGAATCAGCCTCTCTGAGAGCTACCACAGAGTTTAGGAAACCTGACTACCAGCCAGCATCAGAAAAAAAATCCTGAGTTTTAGATATATACCCTCATTAGGAGATAATAGATATTGCTTAATCATACAACAGTGACACAAGCAAAACATATGCAACAATTCAAGAAGATCCAGCATTAAACATCCTAAATTGAAAATAAAGTGTTGTAAATACATCATCACCAGTCTAATAGATAAAAAAGGGGAGCAACGCAGGCCAGCAGATAGAATCTGTTTACCCCTTAATATGCATAATATTCATAACAATAAAATACAATAAGTTCTTTTCTGGTGTGAGTTTAGTTTTATGATTTTAATTTGAGTTTTTATTTGATATTTGTGAGTTTTCAATTTGATTTTTAAGAGTTTTGATTTTATAACATTAACTATCTGCTTGCTTGATTTTTTTTTTTTTTTTAACTAATTCAATTCTAACAAGAAACAACTATAAAGTTAAAATTTACTGTTAACTAAGAATAGTGTTAAAGAGCAAGGAAACAGGTTTACAGAAGAAATACAAAGTTAAAGGTTACATGAGTATAAAAAATATAAAGATTGTAGTGAGTGGTAAAGCATTGAAGTGCAAGGAAAGTATCTAGAGAGATAAATGATTTTAGAACATGAAAGAAAAGAGAAAGAGAATAATAAAAATGCAAATTTGATGAATGATGAGTCAAGCTGAAATGAGTGTTGGTTGGTGGGACTCAAGATAATAGCTAATTTGAGCATTAAATACGGTAGTATTTGTAAAAAAGGTAAAGAGATGTAAGTTTACAAAAATGGGAGAGTGGCTCAATCTTAGTAAATAGACCAGGTCCAACTACATTAATAATGTCTATTTGGAACGTGATTAAAAGGGAAAGATCATAATAAGAAAAACCAGCCTAAATATTACAACAGTGTTCAATACAGGAAGGTTCATCTTTTTTTTAAATAAATTTTCTTAAAGTGCAATTAATATTGATAGTAGTTAGAAAGGCTTTCATAAATATTAAATGAAGCTTTAAACCGCCGGCTTGGGTTTAAACAAATAATACAAAGTTATCATAAAAATATATATAAACACATATAAAAGTTACTTTTTTAAGTTCTTGATTTTCTAATCTTACTGGAACTGATGATACTATTTTGGATAGATCAAAACAAACAGTTTTGTAATATATAATTATAAATCAAGTTTATCAATATATAATTATAAATCAGTTTATCAATATATAATTATAAATAATTATTGTATTTGTATTGTAGTTGTATTGCTTTTACATTTACAGTTTAACTTTTACATTTACAGTTTAACTTTTACATTTACAGTTTAACTTTTACATTTACAGTTTAACTTTTACATTTACAGTTTAACTTTTACATTTACAGTTTAACTTTTACATTTACAGTTTAACTTTTACATTTACAGTTTAACTTTTACATTTACAGTTTAACTTTTACATTTACAGTTTAACTTTTACATTTACAGTTTAACTTTTACATTTACAGTTTAACTTTTACATTTACAGTTTAACTTTTACATTTACAGTTTAACTTTTACATTTACAGTTTAACTTTTACATTTACAGTTTAACTTTTACATTTACAGTTTAACTTTTACATTTACAGTTTAACTTTTACATTTACAGTTTAACTTTTACATTTACAGTTTAATTTTTACATTTACAGTTTAACTTTTACATTTACAGTTTAACTTTTACATTTACAGTTTAACTTTTACATTTACAGTTTAACTTTTACATTTACAGTTTAACTTTTACATTTACAGTTTAACTTTTACATTTACAGTTTAACTTTTACATTTACAGTTTAACTTTTACATTTACAGTTTAACTTTTACATTTACAGTTTAACTTTTACATTTACAAAAGGGGTCTTCGAAATACTCATTACATTAGAGACGGGGATTCCAAAGCACATGCTGAGGTTTTAAAAAGTGATCACTACCCAGGTTTGATAGTTGATATTTCACTGCTAAGTTGCTTTGAGTTTAGAATTACGACACTATATGTGCCCTCGAACTAATGATACTTGGTGTAAATATCAGTGTGATAAAATTGATAACACAAAAATTTACAAGGAAAAATCTGGAATACCAATTATTAGGTATGAAATTAAATCCATTTTTCTTGACTTTAGTGATGATAAGCTTCTTTGTAGATGTTTACATGGCAAAACTCAAAACTAAAATGAATATGTTAATGCAATCATTTGGAAGCGTTGCCCTAAAGAGATTTTTGTTTGCCGTACTACTTTAAAAATAAGTGTTGCATCAACAGTAATTTCATTTAATGATTGTATTTCTGGTATATTAAACATATTTAAATATTTAAATGTTATACTACGTACATTTGCTACTGAGTACTGTACCAAAATAGTCCAAGAAAGAATACAGATAATGGGAAAAAAGTCACTTGACTCAATAAAACAAAGAAGAAAGCTGCTTTGAGCAGAACAAAAAGGTTTTACAGATAAAGTAAATGAAAGTGAAGGTACATCTTATGAAGCAGGAGTTTTTTAAATATTACTTTTTTGTTACTTTTTAAATTAAATTTATGTTAAGGCATTTATTGTATTTTTTAATGTAGTTATTGTGTATTATCTTTTTATGCTCAAGCTTGTTTTCATTATTTGAATAATTCTATTTTGGTTAAATGTTTTTCAAATAATAGAGTTTTCACAATTTTCTTTTTTCTGTGTTTTTAATAATGATTAAAAACACAGAAAAAAGAATGCTAATAAGTCATTTTGTTTTTAATAATTTTTGACCTTTTATATATTAATTTTTTTTTTTTGAAAATCTTTATTATTGTTTTTCTCAATATATGAGTTTTTTGCACGCTGCGATAAATATCTTGAAATTGCTTTGTTTGATTTGATTGTGTTAAAATGAGTATGAGTTGTTTATTATATATATGCACTTCCACTTAAACAAAAGAATTCGTGTTAGGTAACTAGTTCTAAAATTAAGGTCTAGGTTTTAAGCCTTTTGGGGGCCTTTTTTTAAGGCCTTAAATCAACTTTCTTACGAAAGCTTCAACAGTTTGTTAATTTATTTGATTTGGCAGGGTGAGTGTAATCATCTGATATTAAAAAGCTGTGAAAATTTCATGATCACACCATTATTAGTTTACAGGCTGTTTATGTTTGCAGCATGTAGTCCATATTTAGGATCCATGGATCCAAAATTTTGACCAAAAAAAATTTTTTTTTTTATTTACATTGCTTTAAATATAAAATACTATTTTTTATATGAAAATCATAAAATATGAGTTTTTTTAAAATTTTGATTTTTTTAGTATAGGACCACCTTAACTAAAGTGAAACTTATGTTAAAATGGATAAACTTTGTAAAAGAAATTAAAGTTAGATGCAATTAGTACAACAGTCATCATAGCTTAATTAGGTAACTACCTGTACAAAAGTTAGTTAGATAACTATATGTACAACAGTTATCATAGGTTTTGGTCAAGAAAAAAGTGTGTTCTCATAACTACATCAAAGTTCACCAGACTTGAACTTTGTACATCTAAGTATTTGATTGACATTATAAAATATAATTTGATTGTAACAATGTTTTTTTTCTATCAAGGATAAAAATAACATAGTCACTATAATGCACTTAACAATAAGAATTTATAACACCAAAAGGTTTCATCTTTAAAAAGCTTCTTGGTTTTTAAAGATGAACCTTTTTGGTTTTTTTGTCTGATATATAGTGGATATTTATGATAAATATCCACTTTATATCAGACAAAAATCTGTGTTTTTTAAAAGGGTAGATGTGTTTAAAATGATTTAAGCAAACTCGCCCTGTTAAAAAACACTAATTAGTAGTTTGAATTATTATTATAAAGTTTGGCTGAAAATTTGAAAAAACCAAGTCTCATGTTTAAATCAAATCGATTTATTGCACAAAGTATTATTGACTACCAACTTGAAATGAAATCAAATGTATGGCTTTAAATTGTTTGCAAAAGTAAATTTTTTTAATGTATTTCTTAGTAATACATTGAAAAAATCAATTTTAGAGAATTATAGTTATAAAATTATAAACTGATCCAAATTACACCAGTATGGAGTAAAAAGGAACTTTTTTTTTTAAGGCCTTAGAAGTGCCCTTAAAAAGTTTTTTATATCACCAAATGTCACTAAAAAGTTTTCTTAATTCAATCTCTGCAAGACTACACTTTAATTTAAGAGAAACATGTTGATAGAACTGCAGAGCTTAAAGAGTAAAAGAAATGCAACTAGTCTTGTCCACCCCTGTTTCTTAATAGATTTGTGTTAATAATCATTGCTATTTACTAATTTATAGGATTTTTCTATTATATTGTTTGCAGATTTATAACTTAAAGTTTTAAATTACAATCATTGAAATAAGAAAAAAAATTAAAAAAATAACTAAAAAAGAACATTTACCTTCTTTTTTAACTGAGCTGCTAAATAGACTATTTTCCATTTTATTGTATAAACCTTTAAAAAATCATATAAGAAACTTACAAAAAGATAAGAAACATTCAAATAAATATCTTTATAAAAAAATATATAAAAATTATATATGCAGGCCCATAGTAAGGTGAAAAAGGCCCATAGTAAGGTGAAAAAAGACCCATAGTAAAGTGAAAAAGGCCCAGTGTAAGGTAAAAAGTAGTTCTAGTTTTAATTGCTTTTAAAATTGCTGCTTTAGTTACTTTTAGAATATGTTGTTTAACTTACTTAGTTTTAGAATATCTTGTTTAACTATTCGATGTACATAATAATCTGTTAAATATGTATTATATATAGTCATATATCAAAAACTTTATTTTTATGTTTATCTTTTCACTGAGATGTTATTTACCAGTATTAAATGCTTATGAAGGATTTCATATTCATGCAAAAAATATTTTTTTTTTAAAAAAAGAGGTACTTTTATACACACTAAATTTCTTGTTGAAAATAAAATATACAAAAAAAATTGGTCTCAGATCACCTTAGTTATAAATAAAATATACAAAAAAAATTGGTCTCAGATCAGTTATACAAAATTAATTTTGTTTTTTTAAGAAATGCTTTCGTACACAAGTACAAAAGCATTTCTTAAAAAAACTTATGTCTATACCATGTCAAAGAGAAATATACACAAAAAATAGATTTTATTTTAAGTGTTTATTGTAAAATTTGGAACCTCCTTTTATTGAGCTGTAAACAAAATAAAATAACTTAAAGCAATGCCTCCTTGATTTACTTATATTACCATAAAATTTAAAATATAGGAAGCTAAAAAGTTTAAATATTCATATACTCATTTTGAGAAAAACCATGAGCTTTAAAAACCTTACTTACGTTTTAGTAAGACCCCTAGCTCTAACTATAATTGTAATCTAGATTACTATAATCATAGCTGTAAATTTAAAAAATTTGTTGAGATTTAACAAATTTATATTGTAATAAATATTTCGATACTTTTATTTTACATAACAAATGGTTGAAATTTAACAAATTTATAATATAATAAATATTTCAATACTATCATTGTACTGATGATTTGATAATTAAAAAAAAAAAAAATGCTCTAATCTGCATTAGATGAAATAGATAAAGTGAGTTTTTTTTTTTCTAGATACAACAAAAACTTGTAATAGTGACTTGACCAAAATCATTCTTCATATGTTCTTAGATTTGTTGTGTCAAATTCAAGTTTTAAAACTTTTAAACATTTCTTCTCCAAGTGCTCTAAATTAAATTTATTTGCTAATGATATGACAATATAATCTAAATATATAATTACATCATTATAAATGTATAATCCAGTCTTGCTATAAAACCACAACATTTTAATTAGCTGGTTGCAGCAGCTTATCATGATTGTCATCTTTAAGTTGACTTTTCTTTGTCTTGCTCTGTTTTTTTTACTCCTATTTCCAAATCAATCCTTTAAAAAGCTTTTACTTATCTTTATATAGAATATTGTTATAATTTTTCTGCAGAGACATCTAAATATGTCCTTTCTTGTTCAAAAACATATTAAAAAAGCAGCACATAAACATATTTAAAAAGAAGGCAAACTTGCTTGTAAACTAGAGAAACTTATGTTTCTCTAGAAAATTTCAAAATCTATTCTGTTTTGTTTTGTATGTCATAATCTAAGAAATCTGTGTTCCTTGAATTGAATTCAAAAAAATATTTTGTTACTTTTTTTATAATTTAAAAGTTGATTTTGTATATTTTTATTTAAAAAGAATCAATGCAGTTTAATAATCAGATTATAAGCCAACACTATAATTTATCAACCAACAGAGAATGATTATACAATAATATTCATTGGATGTCTTTTAATGTATTTAAATTACAAAATTATAATTGTGATCTACTAAACATAAAAAACTAATGATAAGATGAATTTAGCTTAATGATAAGATGAATTTTGTCTTCTTCAAGCCCCAGTCATGTAAATATTTGTTTTTATAAATTACGAGTGTAAATTATTTTCAATCGGCAAACACAATACTACTACTACTACTAAAAAATTAAACAATGGAATCAGTTACTCATAAACAACTTATTAAATATTAAATGCAATAACAAAAACTAATTTTAAATTAAAAGTTGGATAACTATTGTAACTACTTGACTAATAAAATTCATTTTAAAAGTAAAAAATTTTAAAATAAAGGTAATATAATGAATTTCTTTAATATATTTTAAACCTAATAATTAAAATCTTTTACACACAAACAAAAGATCTTTGTCATATTTTAAACAAAGGATTGTTATCAACTTATCAAGATTAGATAAATAAAAAACAAAGAAATATAAATTTCTATTTTAAAGCTGTTTGAGTTATTTTAAATCTGCTTGAGTAAAATTTTGGAACTGTGTCAAGCAAAGATTAAGTAAAGATTATACTAGAAAATAACAAGCACACATTAACATTCATATCAAATTACTTTGTAATATGATATGAAGATGAATAAATGCTTGTTATTTTTTAGCTGTGTTGAATTTAATATTTCATTTAATAAAAAGAATAATTTAAAAAAAGAAAAAGTGAGATATACAATATTATATAAATGATATGAATGTATTCATACTCAATATGATTACATTTACTGAGTATAAACAAAATAACAAATAGGATGAAAATACATTCATATTCGTTTTTTAACATTACATTTATTATGTCATAATGAATTTGATGCTAAGACTAAACTTGTTTACCTGTATTTTTTTTTTATAATAAAAGGTGTAACTTTTCTTTAAAATCAAGTACACGAATAAAGTATGAGTACAGTATAAATACATACTGTTTAATTACAGTATGAATACATACTGTTTAATTACTGTATGAATACATGGGCTTGATGATCAAGCCCATCTGCGCTAAATATCTTTCTCTTTTTTTTTTTCTCTTTTTTTTTTTGGAAAAAGGATTTACGCTAAACTCTCCTAATAATTTTATTAAATTTAAAAAAATACAAACACAATGACAAAAATTAAAACAAAAAAAAATTAAAATAGTACCTAAATCACTTGGAACATATAACGTTTTAAAATCCGGCTAACAATTCCTTTTAGAATTCAATGGTAGTTGTTTTCAACACATTTTTTGACATAAAAAGACTTTACTAACCACTGTGCTTAGTTGTAAAAACAAGTAACGAGACTCTCGTGACTTCAGCAAATGTTTACTGTTTATTTTGCAATATTGACATTTTCAGTGCGAGTGCTCATTTAAATGTAAACGAGTAACGTCAATTTAAAGCCTTTAGTCTATTTATCTTTGTACGAGAACGTACGGACTTAAATTGGCCTTTTTTTTAAATTAAATACCACAGGTGCTTGCACCCCAAAAATTACATAAAAGAGCCTAGAACTTTTTTTTTGAGAAAAATTATACTTTTTAAGTTATTACTATTGAAAGATAAGCCTTAATGGGGTTCTTTCTGTTAGGTATGGTTTAATATGTCTCGCTTGTTTTCTTTTGCTTGAATGTTGAAGCTGACTCTTTTTTTCGCTATGCACCCCAAAAATCACATTAACTAATTTAACAATAATTTCTTTACTGTTAAGAATTTTAACTTTTTTAAATTTTAATTTTTTGAAGAATATTGTTATAATAAATTGCTCTTAGGATGATTGCATGACTGCTAACTTATATTTTATAGAACACTTCAAATGTACTACAAAAACTACATCATATGCACCCCAAAAACCATGTTGGTTTTTTGATGATTATGAAAAAAATTTGAAAAAAATTAATAAAATATTTATATAATATTATTTTTTTATGTAATACATAATATATAATAAATGTTATTAGATTTAAATAAATAAATTTTCCAGTTAAAATTTTGGACATCCTATTCATAGTCTATTACTAATTACTAAACTATATAGATAATATAACCTAAATATAACACAAAAAGTCTGTTCAATAAATTTAAATTGTCCAAGAATAAAATTTGCAACTTATTAGGAATTTCCAAAATTTCATACTACATTTCCTTTTTTAAAAAAACCTCAACAATGCAAAAAATAAAACACGGAAAGCAAAACAAGAATAGTTAACATAACATGACTTTCACTTGTTTTTTTTAACTCGTTCTTCTCAAACTCACTGACTTTTAGTCTGCAAACCAGGTTATGATGCTCTTTAGTGAGCTATACTTGTCTTTGCAGGCCTGTGTATGTGGGCTATATATGGAAACTAGCCAAATATAGGCCACATACACTGATGACTTTTTGGAGAAGATTTTAAGATTGACAAAGTAATTTATATGCATTAAACTGGTTCTCTAATGGACCACATAAACTAATGATCAATTTCTTTATTTAATCTAACATTAGCAAAATATTTGAAAAAAGCTATGCACAACAATTTATAGCGGAATTATGTCTCTTCAAACATCAGTATGGATTTTGTAACAAACATTTCACAACTCACGCATCTAATAAAATAACTGAAACTATTAGAAAAGCTTGCATTTCTCTTTTTGCATGTTAAATTTTTTTTGACTTGGGGAGAACCTTTGATTCTATTGATTGGTCCATCTTCCAAAGTAAATTGGAACACAACGGTTTACGAGTTAATGCTTTCCCATGGTTTTTATCATATCTTTTTAATAAATTGCAATAAAATGCTTTATATGTAAACCCCAAGGTTCAATATTAGGACAATTATGTTTCCTTATTTTTATAAGTGATTTTACCATCTCTCTAAAATTTTCAACAGCCGACCATACCAACATACATACTCATACAAACAATAACAAACATACCGATCATACCAACAACATACTCATGAAATACACTACTTACTCATGAAAAAATTCATACACTACTTACTCATGAAAAAATGATACCAACATGATTTATCCAATATACTTTAATGGCTGCGTTCTAACAAACTTAGTTTTAAAACCAACAAAACTAAACCCACCATTTCCAAAAATTAAGTCAATCTAAAGTGTATAAAAACCTAAAATTTAGTCAAAAAGTCTTTTCTGTAGTTTTATAAAAGTATATTTGAATCATAATTGACTCAAATCTATTCTTTTCTTCTCATCTTAAAAAATTAGCGGTAGAATTGCGTAAATTAAATGGGATGCTAGCCAAAATTCGTCGCTGTGTCAATCATGAAACTTTACTCAATATATACAATGCAATTTTTTGGTCACATCTCAGTTATGCTTTTTAGGTTTAGGGACAAAATAAGTTTCATGCTTTTTTATGATTATTTAACCAAAAAAATACGTTCTTTGTGAATTATAGCAGCTTTAGATATTGAATCGTTTTTGTCAGTTTGAAAATTCCGCGCACAATTGCCCTCATATTAATATCTTATTGGCTTAAACGTAAGATATTACATTCAAATTTGAATGAAAGTAGTTTAACTTTTAATAGTTTTTTTCATAATAGTAAAGTGATTTCTTAATTAATTATTAACTTAAAAAATTGGGAGTTGAACAAGTCAGGAAAACATGACGATCGGAGAGAGTTCCAAAGGGTTAAAGTGCAGGGAAAAAACTAGACAAATAAAGGTTTTCAGAGCATGCAGAGACAGATACAGTAAAACATGAGACTTCGCTGAATGAGTAGTCAAGCAAGAATGAGTTTTATTTGATGGAACTCAAAATGATAGCTCCTTTAAGCAGCGAATATGATAGTATATGTTTGAAAGAAAAAGAGATCCAACTTTACAAGGATAGAAAAGAAGCTTGATTTTATTATTTTTAGCGAATCCAACAACGTTTACATTGCGTTTTTGGAGATTGTCTATAAGAGAAAGAGCATCATTAGGAAAACCTTGTCTAGAAAAGAAAGAGCATCATAGAAGAACCCGCAGGGTTTAGTTAAAATGTGTCAGAGCCTCAATAATGGTATGATTTCTTACAGTAAAGAAATTTGTTTGCAGCCAAACTGGTGTTGTTGTATCACATCGTTTTATACCAATTTTATTTCAATGATTAGACTGTACCACAAAACAGTGGCGGATACAGAGGGAGAGGGAATTGGGGTGGGTATACATCCCCCTCTGCCGCCAAAGTTTGAAAGTCGTAAAATATCTTAGAAATAACCATGGTTACAGGAATATCATATCTTCCGTAAGTAGACATAACTAAAAATATAAATAAAAAAAAATATAACTAGATATAACTAAAATAGAATTGGCAAATGTTAACTTTTTAGTTCAAACTGATGGGAGTAAACATAAAGGTATAAAACTTTAATCTATTTTAAAATTAGACGTTATTGAAAAATCTGAGACTAATTCATACGTAGTAATACACAGTTTAAAATAGTTACAATGCAAAGAATAGTGCAAGGCATATAGTGAACACAATTGATTTTCAATATCTATTGAAAATCAGTTTTTCACTCTGGAAATTATAAGGTTTATAGTTTACAACAAAAAGAGTTTTTGTTTTTATGAAAACGGCTACTCACGTGCTTAACAACATAAATCAGCATGTTGTAGATTCCATGGATAATTACATATATAAGATATACCATTATTTCTCAATTTACCCAGTTCGTGTAGAATCTCTAAGCGGTTTTTGAAAGAAGAATTAGATTTACTTAAAACTCCTATTAAAGCTAAGTTCTTTTTCTTTAAATTACGCAAAAAAATCTCCGAAAAAACAAAGAACTTTAACCAAACAAACCATTAAATTTATAAATGGATGCTTTTAGTATGAACTAAAATGATTTAGAATTTTTGAACTCATGGACCGAGGATAAAACTCATGAACGGGCGGTTTCAATCATTTAAAATATTTTCCTGTCCTTGTCCAAAAACGATTTAGTTTGGGAGGAAGTCAGTATTAAATTTGAGTATTTAAAGGATAAAAATGTTTGCATAGACAAAAAATAAAACAGTTTTTAAACAGTTTCTTAAATTGCAAAAGTTTAATAAAGATCACCTATCGAAAGAGATTGTCGACAAAAAATGGTTGCAATGTTTCAAGATTATAATGATACCATACAAGTATTCGGAAATTATAAAGTTGGTCCAATATATGTTTGCATTAGCGGGGCAAAATGCAACCGTGAAAATAAAATTTAGTTAAATTGAGGCTCAATCGACGGAGAAAAGAAACAGATTGGCAGCGGAGATAACCAAACATACAACCATAGTGAAACTTAGTTTCAACTTCAGTGATGATATTTTACTAATATTGTTATTATTGTTGTTACTGTTATTATCACTAATGTTGTTATTATTGCTTTATTGTTGTTGTTAATATAATTATTAACATCGTCATTGCAATATATCTAACCGTATGATTAGATATTATAATTTGTTATGATCATAATAACCATAATCATAACAAATCAGATATAATGTAATGACAATGATAATGATTATATTAACAACAACAACAACAATAAAAACCAATACTACTATGATATATTTATAAGTAAATTTAACAAGGAAAAATATTTTCCCTGTTAAATTTACTTTAATATTATTATACAATTAGTTTTTATATATAGTTAACTTATATACAATTAACTTAATTAGTTTTTTAATTATTACTTAATTAGTTTTTACTTTAATTCTATTACATTTTTATTTCCATTGTTATTGTTAAAAATAGTTTATTCAGGCATTGTCTAAATCAAAGTATATCTACAAATAAATACTCCTAAAAGTCGCAGCGGTTTTTCTGATGTTTATAACACCCAAATTTTATTGTTTATATTGATGTTATAACATTAGATTTTATATTAGTGTTATAACATTTGATGTTATAAACATTTATATTATAATGTTTAAACTGATGTTTATAAACATTTATATTATAAACATTAACCCCAATATTAAGGGCAATATTTATAAAAATTGTTCCGTAGATATGACTACGGAACACTTAAAAACCCCCTTGAAACGATTATATTATACCTATAGGTAATATAATCGTTTCAAGGGGGCTGTAAACATTGCATAGTCATAACTACGGAACACTTAAAACTATTCAGTGATATTTAAAATGTAATGTCAAAAAAAAAAATTAATTCCATTTAGTAAAAATGAAAAAAAGCAAGAAAGCCACCGCCCTTAAATATGGGCTTAATGGGGAATGGAGCGTCAGAGAGGTCTAGTAAAAGGTGTTTTTGGGTTTTACCCGTTTCAGGTTTAAATTTCATTTTTAAATTTCATTTTTTTTTTACAATTATCTTATTTAATACCTAAATTCACACACCCATTCCTTCATCCAACACCAATTATACCTGTCGTGATTGCTCACATAATTAAATACCGGATAGTAACTAAAACAATAAACATTTCTCTAATTTGAGTGCGCAACTATATTCGTAA